CCCTCGATTACAAGCTTCGCGTCTCAGTGCTTCGATTCACCAGTTCATCCCTTCAATCCACTAAGTGTCTCGAAGGTATAACTCATTCAATTCACTATAATCTNTAATTTGACCTTCGTCGGCCCAAGCATTCTTCCATAAGAATATAAATGTAAACTAACTCAGCTTCTTTGTAATTTTCTAATGGACTTGAGGCGGGAATGAGCTTGGAACGATGAGTTTCAGCATGCAAATCTCACTGATTATTTGGTGGCTGCAAGATTTAATTTGCCTCGATCAAAGCTCCCGTAGTGAAAATTGGGCACTATATGAAAGAGGAAAGCTCTAGGCTGAACCATGCCATTCGAAGTCACTTCGAAATGATTGAAAGATTCCGTTATCGAAAGTGTCGACGAGTGGGGCAGCCAGCAAGAGGAGAACAGCACCTATTGAGAGTTACCCTGGAAAGAGCCTCCACAGTTTTCCCAAACATTTTCGTTCACAAGAGAAGTGATCTGATCCCAAGGGAAATGATCGTGTTTCTTCGTTCCTTAAAATTGAAATCCCTTATCTTGAAGCTGGGTGAAACTGTGCTGGGGAGGAGGCTCACATGGATGGTGTTGGCCATCGTGACGAACTCATCCTGCTTCCACCCTGTTCTTCATAATGAAGAGGAATACTGACTTCGGCCGTCGTGTGACGTTAGGCTAGACGTACATAGAAGTTAGTGATGTTATTCTGAAGCGAACAAATCTCCTGTTTGTTGAGAGAACCCCCAAACCTCCCCACGCATGCACTTCTGTCCCTCGATTACAAGCTTCGCGTCTCAGTGCTTCGATTCCACAGTTCATCCCTTCAATCCACTAGATGTCTCGAAGGTATAGTTCATTCAATTCACTATAATCTCGAAGTATTTAATTCACTCGAAGGTAGCTTACAATTACTGAAATAATTTGAAAAGGACATTATTAGTCTAAAAGAAAACCCTACCGGAAACTCAGTTGATGATCCCCCTGTTATATATGCTCCTTGTTGAGATAAATGACAGAAACTCTAGTGGTTTAACACTCCACAGCAAAAGCAGCAACACTAAGTTGTGCCTCTTACAGCTACGATCTCCGAGAAATTTGGAAAAACTGCACTTCGTTATCCACCATCCGAGACCAAGCCAATTGCGGTAAGCACGTTTTGCTTGAAGTCTAGGAAAGTACCAAAAATGACTATATCTTATACATTACTAACAATAATGCACACCTTTAGGTTCATGCTGGGCAGTCTCGTCGGCAGCTGCAATTTCGGATCGGATTTGTATTGCTTCTAAAGGAACTAAGCAGGTAGAACCTAATTTTCCATGCTGTGGTTCCTGCTTNTAGAGCAAATTCAGGTCTATGTGTCTGCTGGCGACATTATGTCATGCTGCTCATATTGCGGTTCCGGGTATGTTTTCATAGCCTTTTGCAATCTCATTATAGTCTACCTTTACAGTACATATGTCTGTTCAGATGTCAAGGAGGCTTTCATGTCAGAGTTTGGAACTACTTTATGGAAGAGGGAGTTGTCTCCGGAGGACATTACCATACTAAGGTACAGTACTTGTTATTCCAACGTGTTCGGTTGAGACAATGCAGCAAATTTGACGTTAGGGATGCTGCCGTCCTTATCAAATTCATCCCTGTGGACATCATGGAAATGACACGTACTATGGCGAATGCCCTAAGCCGGCGCAAACTCCAGTATGCAAGAAGAAGTGCCATCCTGGATTCAGGAAATTATACAGAATGGACAAGTTATACGGTACGCACACTATGCTATCTAAGGCCACTTCGCCATTTAGGTGTCCAAACCTAGCCCCCACCCACTTCGAGCATTTGTTTACAAGACAAATAACGGTGAATTAGGAGATTCAGCTAAGTTGTGTAGAACAGATTGTGATAAGGCCGTATGCGCAGGATCAGAATCGGACTTCTACGAAAAGGTAGTTTAGGCTTAAGCTGTGCAAAATTATGTTAAGCATTCTACAGAATCAATCGCATCAATCACTCAAGCAAACAGTCAGTGAAGCTAAGATTCAAGGAGGAAGTTCCTCCGCGCATACTATTTCGCATACTCGTGCATAGGGGTTTCTTGCTGCCTTTTCTTTCTTTTACTGGCTGATTGTGTCAGTTTTAAAGCAAGTCTGCAGCCTTTAGATTGTTCTTTCTAACTGTGGTTTCCATCACTTCTTAACCAATCGCTTACCATTTCCATTCTCGGATACTGGGTAGCTTGTTTTCAGGCAAAGATGGTTACAAGTTGAAGAATTCTGTAAAGGATATCCAAAGAGAAATCATGAAAAGTGGCTCGGTAGTTGCCTCGTTCACGGTCTATGAAGATTTCAAGCACTACAAGTCAGGAATCTATAAGGTGAGGCATCTGCATAAATCTCTAGCTATCATAATGAAGATAGCTTGAGAGGTGTCATTTAGAGAGGTTTTTTGACACGGCAAAGTTAACTGCTTTTCTAGATATGCACTTTGAATCCGAGTCATTCTGGTAACTAGAAACTGAAAACGTAGTTTTTGCTTGTAGCACACCGCTGGTAAGGCACAAGGTCGTCATGCAGTGAAGGTGATTGGATGGGGAACAGAAAATGGTACGGACTTTTGGCATATTGCCAACTCATGGCATGACGACTGGGGTGAAAAAGGTAAAGTGCGATGAATAAGGTCGACTTTGTTGAACTTTATTTTTTATGGTCACTCCAGCTCTTCTCTGAGGCTTTTCAGTCCCGAAAATACTCAAAACTATTAAGCTCTGCCTCCTTTTCTTTTCACACATTGTTTCGTGCACCCTAAGTCATGGCCTCGAAACTCGTCTTTTTTCCAAACAGCGTATCCACTCCACCTTTACCCCTCCTTGAGTGCTAAGTCGGAATTAAACTGAGTCAGAATTATCTCAATACTTGAGCTACATAGCTTTATGATAAGTAAACTGTTTTCAGGGAGGGCCCTACAATCCGCATAAAGTGTATGTGATATATACTTGATGGCATAGAGTACTGAACAATCGCTTTTCTTTCCAGGATTCTTCCGCATTCTTCGTGGAGTCAACCACTGCGGAATTGAAGGAAATGTATCCGGCGGACTTGTCGACGAAAATAGCCTTCAAGATGATTTATGACTTTTTTTAGAATTGGATAAAAATAGTCACCGTAATTACCTTTGAAATATGAAGCTTTCGAACGGAATCTCCCTCTCCGAAAAAGCTGATTTTAGAAAATCAAAAGATGATGGCAGTAACTGGGAGCAAGGCCCCCACTTCCAGATTTCATTTTTGATGTTCACGTTGGAAACGTAGAGTGCTTGTACGTCAGTGCTTTGGAGCAATGGCATATAGATGGTATGATGTCGAGGATATAATAGAGTATAAATTAAGGGTGTAAGCTGAATGAATCCTTGAAAATAGCCTTTTCTAAAGACCTGCTGTCAGAGCGGAAATATCAATAGGGTTGCCGGCTCACTTATGGTTCTATCGGCGAAGTCTTCCTGCAGTCTCGGGAGAGTGCAGGGAGTGCAATAAGCGTGTCGCTTACGGTATTGTTTTGCAGCCCCATCTTTGTTTGTCTGTTTGTTGTTTTTGTTCACAGCCCAGAAACAACAATCCATACATAAATGTGGTATGACTTCGAGTCCAGTCCCGAACATGATGGTTTCGTGCTCTTCTCTCAAAGCAAGGCCCACTCTTTTCATTACTATGACATGGTTATTGAAATGGAAGGGTTACAGTGGGCTTTAACGGCGTAAAAGTAGTGCGGAGCTACAAAAACCAGTGCTCATCGCCTTATCGTCGACGAACTGGTCTCACGGTCTGAATGAAAGCGCTTTCGCGAATGATAAAGACGTGGTAATGTGATACGAGTGATGGATCTATTAATTTTTGCATCTTTTCTCAGATGAATGTCAGGAAGCTTTGAAAATCTGCATAGTGGCTTCTGCAGCGCCACAGGGTAACTCTTAACAGGGTTTCAAGGTGTGCAGCTTGTAAAGGAAACACTTAGTCATTCAGTAACTGCACCAGAAGGCCATGGCTTTGCTGTTCGAATAAAGTTGTAGAGTATTAGCTCACAGTTGTTGCCTTTTCCAATGGAACATGGGTAAGTAGTATTACAATTGCAGCAGATACAGAATCTTCACCTTGTTCTATCACCTCCAATCCACTTTAGAGCCTCATCTGCATCACATTCATTACATTTTATGCTCCCAAAAGGCGATATAGGTGGTTTGGGCAAAAATTTTGAGCAGAAATTTCCTACAGAGCGATTCTGGGCAATTTTAACCATGTATTCAAAGATTCATACTTCCAAGTATACCATCACATATCACAATTGAAAAAAAGAAGCAGCACCAATGATTAGAATTCTCCGGCAACCATATCTCCTTCGATTCCGCAATGGTTAACACCACGCAGAATACGGAAGTATCCTAAAAAAGGAATAACTAAATCTTACTAGTTTTCTCTAAAAAAANAAAAAAAGTTACCATTTTTACACAGACAATATGTGAGGTGGAGAGCTCGTCCTGATCAGATTCATCCATGAAAAGTTACAAGCAGAAATGGTAGGATGATTCAGCCGCTGTCCTTCCAAGAACGGTATGATACCTCAAGCCTACCCTATACCGCTAACTCAGTACTATCACTCTATCCTCCTCGTTGATCCCCTACTTTGATTGCTCAAACGCTGATGTCGGTCTTGTCAAAACACTTCCGCTGCAAAATCACTATACTCATTCCCTCCGGTGGATGGCATGCTTTCGGATGCACTTGTTTACTATGCATCTAATCCTATGTACTTATCGCATTATCGCACCTACTCTCTTAATGACGAGTTGTGAGTTGCACTTTGATGATTTTTGGAAACACCAATCACAAACAGATACGCTGTCTATAAAATCTAGTCTACAAAATTTTGCCCTTCTCAACTCCGGAGCTGCAAAGCGAGAAAGAGTCCTTCCAAATAAAAGTCTATCCAACTAGGACCGTTCCGACCAGTTACGTACCTCCATTCTCTCCCCAGTCCGTATTCCACGAGTTTGCAATCGTCCAGTACTTTGTGCCATTTTCAACTCCCCATCCAATGACTTTCACAGCGTGTGCTCCTCTGCTCTTGCCGGCTGTGTGCTAAAAAATGAAGATTAGTCGCTTTAGCTAACTTTTATAATCGCTTTTCAACACGGAGGTCATACTGCTATGTTCTCGTTTAGCGGTGAAGGTTCACTCTAACTTGTGATGTGAAGGAGTTTACTCGAACTAAGTTGACAGCCGACCTGATTAGGGCTGCGCTTGAAAAGATTATGCTGCTGGTAATCTAAAATGCAGTGGTCCGTGAGAGTTCCTTAATTTTACAGCCAGAATTTTAGCACTGAAGCTTTGACTGACCCGAGGAACAGCAACAAACGCAGCTTTGTTTACATTGAAGGGGGTGATGTTAGTATACAGTAGTAGTGATGGCAATACTTATGGTTTCCCCTTGTTATCAAAGAGTTCGCAGCATGACAAATGTTTGCTCACCACATAGATTCCACCTTTGTAGAATGAAAAATCTTCGTAGACGATGAATGCTGCTTGGACTGGTCCTTTTGTCATGATTTGCTCTTTTATGGCTCCTTCGTGTTCCGGTAGCATGTAAGCCTTATGTGCTTAAAATTTCACGCAGTAACTATCACGAAGATTGATTTCTTCATTAATTTATGCCCAACTGTAACTATTAGACAATCGGGGCATCTTTAGCTGAAAAAGCTTTGCTGACATATTACTGAGCTACCATAGGTACCATGCAGTCGCACACGAGTGTCATTGAAAAGCAGAGAATTCGTCCCATTATTAAATGAATATGAATCTAAATTGGTGGGCTGAGGCTGCAAGATTAGAACTTATGTAAAGGCAAGTCCAGAATGAAAAAGGTTTATGAGTCTTCCTCATGGGTAGAACCTGTGACCGCCAAGGATAACACAAGGGACAGGGACGTTGTCGAGTCGAAAAACGTGAAACTTAGGGCTTAATAAGGGCTCCAAAGTCAGCAAAGTGCACACATAAAGTTCTCACGGTGTTGTAGAGGCCGGAGAGATAGCACCCTTTGCACACGGTACACACATTTGGGCAGCTCGTCCAGCAACCCCTTCCATGCAACTTTTCTCGTAAACCCTTTTCTGAAACCTTATATTTCTGTTGATACGAAAGTTTTCGCCTTCTCTCACCATTTTTCCTTTACTCTGCACTGTCACTTCCATTATTCGTCTGAATCTCAAGTTTATCGTAAAATGTGCCTTAAACTTTGCTGTATGTGGAATAGAAAACAGGACGCCACACACCAATAATAGAGCTTCAAACCCACCAAACACTTTGTCGAGTTTATAGCGTTTCCCGAAGCCGTACTGGCAGTAGTTCTTGCATTTCGGTGTCTTAAATAAACGGTCTTTGGGGCACATACCATAGAATTTTTGTCCTGCATGGTATCCACATGGATGGAAAACGTACGGTTTGCAGTTACCCTAAATATCTTCCACGCCTTGAAGTCATCATGTGAAGATTGTCCTAGACATGAAAAATGAAGCTATGCATCACCATCGGAGGCATGCAACACTACCGTCCATGATATTGAACGACATATATTTCACTCACCGTCGACTCATACCGTCCACCGCTACACACACCTTTGTCTCTAGCGTAACCCCATGCTCGAATGGAGTAACCTCCCTCACATCTGCAAAGGTATCAGTTCGGTAGCTAATCAACTAAAGGATCAATCTGCGGTGCAATATCTTAGGAAGAACAGACTATTGAGAAAATTTGTGCACTTTTGAACCGCACCAGCGAGGATCATTGCAGAAATAGGGCATGGCTTTATTACATCACCATTTCATTTGGGATTAAGCCGTATATCAGATTGGTGAACCTACGACAAGCATCAAAGGGATCGCTATTTTTCACAAAGCTGAAGCTGTACCACATACCAGTATTACGATAATCACTGAAGACGTCACGGTTATGTGCGGATACTCTAAATGCTAAAACCATAGGAAGGAAGGGAAGACCACTCTCAGACCTTTTTCGGCAAAAGGNGACACAAGTCCGATGTCGTGCGCCGAGAAATGTTTAATTCAGATTTCAAGGCCATGCTCCATAGGCTACATTGCTGACTTGACAGAACCTTGATTTCAACCTTGTTTTCAAATGTTATGTGGGAGAACTCAATGTAACTACGCATCTCGAAGGATCCATAGAATTCTTGACTTTATTCTAGTACCACGAATAAGCAGTGCAATGGTTTCATATCATCTCTATTTAATGATTTGAAAAGGGATATAAAGAGTCAACTCACCCGAATCCACAATATATTCCACAGCATGAAAGAATATCAGTGTCCGAAATAATTCTCTGTAATGATTGTCATTTGAGGTGACGTCTACACACGGAAGCATTTAGCTATCGGGAATAAGGCCCTAATAGACTCCATTTCCATAGCCCTCTTGCAGAAATCGGCCGTCATGTATGGCACAGAATCAAGTGGATGAAGGACCGTAGCCTACTAAGCCCCAACGCTATGTATCAGGAAAAGATTGCCTCAGGAGAAGAAGTGAATACACCCCACCCATGTCAAGGTTCAAAGTTTCCGTTCCACAGTCATGGAGCTCTGAGACACTGCTCATACCGTAGGAATTTCCAGAAATGCAGGTACGGACCAAGTGCTCGAATCAAAGGTCGCAAAACTAGTTTTATGCTTAGGTCCTTACTGCATAGAGCGGGAGTTCACGTCATCGCACATTCATGTGAGTCTTCTACATCATAATACTTTTACCTAGACAAAATCCTTTCCCGCTAATGCTGAAAATTGTGCAACTAACCTTTATCTTTCCGTTCGTTGCGATGCAAACGCGATCGGACATTGCCGAGGCAGCCGATACAGCCCAGCATGAGCCTGTAAAAGGTCTGTACATGTGCATAGGGCAAAAAAGGCTATGGTTTTAACTACTACGAAACCCCAATAAGAACGCACAAAGTGGTACTCTGTTCCCGGCTGAATTAGGAATTCCCTCAAAAGGAAATCACCATACTATGGAGAAAACTTTGCACTTTCTTTGCGAAAAAAAGGAACTGGAAGGATATAAAAGGGACTTCGAAATAGACCGCAAGTACAGCTTTTAAGATATCGCTATAGAAAGGATCGATCAGGGTATCTTAAGGAATGTTGTCTGTTGATGTCGAAACGTACACGGAGCCCCAGTCAGCTATAGCTCGAAAAGAAGGTAGCTAGGCAGTCTGGCTCTACGCTCTTTCTGTTGTTTTCACGCTCAACAGATGGTTTACATAAACTCTAATTTGTTACATGGAATTCCGCTTCATGCAATCCATTTCCAGATTCATTGGATGGGATAGATTTCCACTATCAAAATTACCTCTTCAAGGCATTGGGATGCCCTTATGATTCTTAATGGAAGCAGGTGAATGAAGTTTACGGTATCACGCGTTTTTCTCCCTTTTAAACGATTGCTTAACAATGTAAGCATACCACAGTTTGACTGATCACGGATGTATCCAATTGAGGTGCAATTCTTCCATTTGTCTCGAGCGTCGAAACTAAACAGAAAGTATTAAGTAAGCTCGGATTCCTGAAAAGCAACACCAAACTAATAATAAAAAATGAGTAAATGAAATCTCAAATCATCGTTGTTTTGGTCAATGAAAGCAATTTGAAACTTATTTCTCCTTCAATCCTTTCAGATATATGTCAGTCCCTTTGCTCTACATACGAGAAACATAATGTGCCGGCAAAAGGCTCCATTATGTCACTGTAGGAAACAATCTGTCGGGTAACGTACTGCTCCTATTTGGACACATTGATGTAACGGTGTAAGGAGTATGTTGCGATTCGTGCGATTCTGGGTGCGCGCGACAAATTGCGCGGCGAAGTTTGGTGCGATTTGGACGACTGCAATGTTTATCATTTGGGCCCAAATTTGAAGTAAAGTAGATTAGTAGGATTGTCCGACCCTACTAAAGTACTCTACTTCAAGTTTGTGCCCCAATGATAGACGCCAGAGTTGTTTGAATCATCGCGAATTTCGCCGCGCGCACCCAGAGTCGCACGAATCGCTCGTCCCCCCGGTGTAAGTAATGGCCAAACAAATTACTTCTAAGTGTACACAATCGAATTTTGGGTTTTTACATGAAAAACTTTTCTCTTCAAAATATTACATCTTTTCAGTTTCAAACATAGTTAGGCCGGAAATCATCTGCTTTGATAATATGGAATCAGCTTCCGATGATATCATGTGGCGAGTGCCACATATAGCACTTTACGNCAAATTACTTCTAAGTGTACACAATCGAATTTTGGGCTTTTACATGAAAAAATTTTCTCTTCAAAATATTACAACTTTTCAATTTCAAACATAGTTAGACCGGAAATCATCTGCTTTGATAATATGGAATCAGCTTCCGATGATATCATGTGGCGAGTGCCACATATAGCACTTTACGACTGGCTATGAGTTGGGTTCCAGCATTGCGCCGAGCAATGTTGTTCACCAAATAATCCCACACCTTTGTGTTACCGGGTTTTTGTACCAAGTGGGTTCCATCATCATCCCATTCCACCCCTTTTACGATACTTTTGCTCGCTTCTACCTTCAACTTTTCTGTTTTTAGGGCGACGACAAGGAAGAATTTACCGTTTCCTCTCTCCCTCGCCCATGGAGGCAAGAACGACCCTCTCGCCGAGAATCCCTCAACGTACGCTTGACCTTAGTAGAACTTAACGCAATCTTCCTGTTGAGATTTTGATTTCTTTCAGAAAATAAAAAAACTATCTCTTTCGTAATGACTGCCACTCACTTTCGCTGATTCGATAAGACACACCTGTCCCGGACCTTCTCTAAAGAATTCATAGTATGATAAGTGTAACTGACACACTGACGTAGGGAGAATTGACAAATGGCTAATAAGGGCTGATCTGCAAATCGTGGTCAATCAGCCTCGACTGTCCCATTCTTGAGCTTCTTTTTCACTGTTAAATCTTTTCCTTTTGAAATCTGCCGAGGCAGATTACCAAGATCAACCTGCGTTCATAAGCCAAACAGACTCAAAGTACATTCACGGGTCAACTGCAAACTAAGGAGCAGATAACCTCACCAATATCAAGTAATTCATTGGCACCAAATGATTCTTCATGAGTGATGATGCTTATTGATAATGGCATGCATGGGGTTAGTAAAAAAGAAAAAAGAAATCAATGAAATAATATGTAGTTGACTTGAAAGCAGCCGTGTTATTTCGGGAAATGAGCTCAATTAACTTCTATGCTGCCTTTTGTACCTTGACCGTCATCATTAGTTATATTGCTAGAATCAACATTAAAGGCTAAACGACCCCCCCCCCCCC